TGACCCTGCTTCGGCAGGAGGGTTGGACTGGATGACCCACAGAGGTCCCTTCCAACCCCGACCATTCTGTGATTCTGCGATTCTGTGATTCATTCTTGGCATATTTTTTGCCAGAATACACAGTTGTGTCCATTACATTCTGCTTTTAATAATCTGAGAACGATAATGATGTAGACAAAAAAAAACCCACAAAAAAGCAGTTTTTCTTCCATGAAGGAAGTTGCAAACAATGGACTTCATCCCACTGCCACTTCTCCCACTGTATATTTTTACACAAATTTCATTCCACTTTATCTGTTAAAGACTTAAAACATTAAACCCAACGATGTTACCTGATGTCTTAAAAAACACTGGAGTATTTCTGTTTGCATTTTGTAGTGTGTTTGTTCGTTTTTTGTCTTGAATGTTCCCCAGGGTTCTCCATCTGAGATGTCTCGCTCACACAAATTCACAGACAAGACTGTGGCTTATGTTACCCCATGTGTACGAGCGTCCCCTCCCCGTTCCCCAGCACCCCGAGGTGGCCCCCACCCCATTCCCTCACAGAGGCAGACACCTATTCATGGCTGAAGCAGTTGGTGTTTATTTGGCAAATTAAGAACAGCAGAACCAGAGGATGCTTCCCCGTGAGCCGGGAGCATCGCTGGGCATGAACACTTGGAGGAGGGTCAGTGGTACCGGTGGGTCAGCGCGTGGGCCACCACTCGGACCATCTTCTCCCAGGCCAGCGTTGTATAGGTTAGGAAGAGAAACTGCCTCTTTTTGATAAAGTAATTTAATATCCCTGAATGAAGAGGCTATACATGTAGAAGTAAGTTACATGTGAGACAAGAAAGAAGAGCAACCTGAGAAAAGAAAGCAGAAAATGGTAAAACAAACAGGGACATTATACAGAGAGACAGGTGAATGAAGACAGAGCCACAGAGTGATCTTTCTTCCAAATTCAAGTTCCTACCTGGCAATGCAATGTCACAGTCCTCAGCGACTTCCCACGGAGGTTACAGACACGGTG